CGCACCTCCAGGCTCAGCACCCCCAGGCACAGCACCCCCAGTCACAGCACCCCTAGGCTCAGCAGCACCAGAGTCACCAGTGACCTCGACAGGCTCGACCGCGTCTACCTGGGACACACCTGAAGGGGCAGGACCCTGAGGGGGAAGGGGGTCTACCGGGGTGGGACCTGGTACCAAGAAGAGCGGGGGTGGGGGGAGGGACGGAGTGCGGTAGGGGAACAGGCGGTAGTAGGGTACCGACTCGTCGAACGTGACGTCCTAGGAGGACAGAACACGGCGAGAGGTGGGGTGGTGGAACTGCCACCCAGGGGCGTCGGGGGGGAACCCTAGGAAGACGCCGGGAGCAGCGCGAGGGGACAGTTTGTCCGCAAACAAGTCGCGGACAAACGCCCGAGATCCCCAGACCCGGAACACCGACGCATCGCCAACCTTCCCCGTCCACAGCAGGGCTGGGGAGGTCTCCGGCCTGGAGACCCTGGGGTGGAGGTTTATCTGATGCGCCGCGTACCTGACCGCAAACGGCCACAGAAAATGGGGGGCAGCCGCATGCATCATAGACGTACGAGCGACGTCCATGACCATGCCAATGCGGCGCTCTGCAATCCCATTTCGCTGCGGTGAGTCCGGAAGCGTGAAGGTCTGACGGATGCCTCGCGCACGACAGTAGGCACGCAGAAGGCCAGAGGAGAACTCTCTGCCTCTGTCCGAGTGCAGACGCAACACAGGAAAGTCCGAGCCAAAGCTCTGCCTGAGCTGGAGACGAGCTGCGCGGATCGAGTCGATCAACACCTCAGTGACATCACCCTTGCTGCGCAAGGGGAAGACTGTGGTGTAACGCGAGTAGTCGTCAACCACCAGCAGGAAGTAGCGCTCGTGACCGAGTCCATGGACGCGGGCAGGGCCCCACACGTCCATGTGAAGCGTCTGCAACGGAGCCTCTGTCGGAGGAAACTGGGAGGAGTGAGGGGCAGCACGCTGGCGCCCCTCTACACAGGGGACACAGGCAGGGCCAGGGCCCTGAGGAAGGGGAGGGAGGGACCGGGGGAGACCAGACACAAGAAGACGGGAGGCCATGCCTCTGAGCCGAAGCAGAGAGGGGTGACCCAGCCGGTGGTGCCAGAGGAGAGTCTCGTGAGACAAGGGACGACACGAACAGGGGGCAGACTCAGGACCAAACCTGGACGCTGCAGCAAACACCTGACCTGACGAAGGGACCCTACCAGACTCACGAACTGGAGGAGAAGCAGTGGTCAGTGTGTACAGGCTCGACCCTGGCTGACGTGTAAGCGTAGCCAGGTGACGACCTGTGCTAGCCTCTGTGTAGTGCGTCACTCGCTGACGAGCAGGGGTGAACTGGTGGACTCCCGCATCCTGTAGGTCAGCACCACTCACCAAGTTCGTAGAGAACGAGGGGAGGTAGAGACCAGACAGGGTGCCAGAGGGAGCCGCCGGACACGGGAGGACTGTGGAGAAGCGAGACAGGACAGGACCCCCAGAAGGGTCAGCCAGGGACACTGCAACCGGCCGACTAAGCGGCGTGAGTGTGGTGCGGTCCCGAAAGAAGGAGCGAGACGCTCCATAGTCAAGGGTGAAGGTGTGGGAGGCCGAAGCCGACGCAGTACCTGAGAGCGCAGACCCACTAGTACCTGAGAGAGCAGCCTCACCAGTACCTGAGAGCACAGACGCACTGGCACGTAGAGCAGAAGCCTCGCTGGCACCTGGAGCAGCAGTACCAATGCCCGGGTCGGGCGGGAAACACTGGTAAAAGTCACCCTCATCACTAATGGTCATAGCATACATGGCAGCAAGGATAGCATCAAAGTCAAGATCAAAGATAGCTACACCAGCCCTAGACTGCTCTCCCCAGCGGAGGATCTCTGCGGCCTCCGGGAACTGCTGGCGCCAAGCGTCCGTCAGGCGGCCAAAGCAGCGCTGGGCGGTGTGGGTACCCCCACACTGCTCTCCAGCGCGGTCGCTAGTGCGAAGAACGTAGGTGCAGGGACCAAAACCCCCACCATGCTGACGCTGCGTGTACCACTCACGGAGCTGCTAAGGGGTGGGGACGTCGCGAGAACGCTGCCGGTGCTGCTGCTGCTGCTAGCGCTGACCACCCCCAGTGCTGCTCCGCTGCGAAGCGCCACTCCGACCACCTCCACCACCGCCACCCCCGCCTCCGCCACTACCGCCGCCGCCTCCGCCACCTCCGCTCCCACCGCCACCGCCGCCGCCACCCCCGCCTCCACTGCCGCCACTAGCACCCCCACCCCCGCCACCACCTCCACCGCCACCCCCACTCCCTCCGTCGCCTCCACCTCCACCTCCACCGCCCCCGCTGGCCCCACCCGCTCCCTTGCCCCCCTTGCCCTTGCCAGGGCGGCGTCTCCCGCTAGGGGCAGACGCCGCACCGACCGACTCAAGACCAACGAGGTCGGCCGCAGCGGTAGAGGCGACAGAGGGCAAGAGAGGGGAAGGAGAACACCCCTCAAAGATGGGGGCGCGGGGGTCACCTCGAGAGGCTCCTACAGCGACTATGCTCTTCTCCGCCGCTGGAAGGGCCTTCTCGAGGCTGTCGACTGTGAGAGTGGTGGGACAGACCGCGAGGAAGTGGTCCCGGACTACACGAAGGGAGTCAGGGAGGCGAGTGACTAGAGAGTAGAGAGTGATGTACATGGGGGGGGGGGTTCTTGGCGCAGAAGTCAGCAGGAAGCGCAGCGCGGTAGCGGGTGTCACTAGTGCGGAGGTGCGTAATGAGATCAGCGACAGTGGGAAAGGCGGCAAGGTCAGGGAAGAGGAAGGGGAGCATGAGGCGGCTCAGTGCAGCAGTGGCAGGGGAGGAGTAGCGCGCAACTACAGCGTCGTACAAGGTCTGGGCACTCTTGTACTGACTAAAGTGCGCGCGCTCAGCGGTAGGCAGGTGGCGACGCACAGCAAGACGTGCAGCAGCGTCGCGTGTGGCCCACTGGGAGCGGACAGTGGGGTCAGCATCAGCAGCAGGGGCAGGGACGGCGCCAGAGGTGAGGTCAAAGAGAGAAAGACCGTCTGCCCTATCGCACTGTAAGAACAGCTGTAGGTCGTCCACCCAGACCTCAAAGTCAATGGCGCGACCCTCTGTGTCAAAAGCTAGGACACTAGGGGTAGCCATGACGACAGACTAGCAGTGCAAGCAGTCTGGGAAGGGCACGCAGTAGCAGTGGGGCTGTGCTCGCCAGACAGGGCAGGTTGGGCGGCTCGGCAGCAGTGCGGCTCGGCTGCGGGGCGGCTCAGCGGTACTGCGGCTCGGCGGCCCGGCGGCTCGGCGGCTGCTACTGGGCGGCTCGGAGGCCCGGTGGCTCGGCGGCTGCTGCTGGGCGGCTCGGCTGGACTGCGGCTCGGCGGCCCGGCGGCTCGGCGGCTGCTGCTGGGCGGCTCGGCTGCTCCGGTACCGGGTGGCGTAGCAGAGAAGGTGAGGGTGGCGGGGCTGCTTAGGTGAGGGCGGCGGGGCCGCGAAGGTAAGGGCGGCGGGGCCGCGAAGGTGAGGGCGGCGGGGCCGCGAAGGTGAGGGCGGTGGGGCCGCGAAGGTGAGGGCGGCGGGGCCGCGAAGGTGAGGGCGGCTGCGCCGCGGAGGTAAGGGCGGCGGGGCCGCGTAGGTGAGGCGGCGGGGCCGCGACGTGAGGGCGGCGGGGCCGCGACGTGAGGGCGGCGGGGCCGCGACGTGAGGGCGGCGGGGCCGCGACGTGAGGGCGGCGGGGCCGCGACGTAAGGGCGGCAGGGCCGCGACGTAAGGGCAACGGGGCCGCGTAGGTAAGGGCGGGGGGGCCGCGAAGGTGAGGCGGCGGGGCCGCGACGTGAGGGCGGTGGGGCCGCGACGTAAAGGGCGGGGTGGCCGCAACGTAAGGGCGGCGGGGCCGCGACGTAAGGGCGGCGGGGCCGCGACGTAAGGGCGGCGGGGCCGCGTAGGTAAGGGCGGCGGGGCCGCGACGTAAGGGCGGCGGGGTCGCGTAGGTAAGGGCGGCGTAATGGGCCGCTAGGGGCGACACGAAGGGTCGCTGAAAAAAAGAACGCGCGCCTCGGGGCGCGCTTCGGTGGGCCCTATGAACAGTCCCTAGGAGGGGACCTGCTCTGATTCCATGAGAAGAAGTGAACGAGAATAGAAGTGACTATGAACGAAGTGAGTACAAATAGGAAACCCTAATTGGGTTGTACCCCCTATGGGATACCCCACTATAGCCTACACAAATAAGTAAGCTATATGTTCTGACAGACGGTTGCCCGCTCCGCCTTCGACGAGGAGCTGGACGATGAGCTGGACGAGGAGGAGGACGACGAGCAGGACGAGGATGAGGAAGAGGATTATGAGGAAGATGGTGCCGAGCAGCAGCAGCAGCAGGTTGTTGAGCAGCAGCAGTTTGCTTAGCAGCAGCAACAGGCGGTCGTCGAACAAAATGGTGCCGTCCGCGGAACACGGTCGGAAGGTGAGTGTGTTCTTAAAAGATTTGACTTTTGTTTAATCTTCCAGCTGTGATGTTATGTTTTTGTTTCGTTGTTATTTCATAATTAACTCGTCGTGGGTTCCAATTTGCAGGTATCAATGCGCACTGGGTGAGAAAGAATCGCGCACTGCAGGCGCAGGTTGAAGATCTTCGCCAAACTGTTGACATCCTGCATATTTCACAAGCCGAAGCGCAGCAGAAACTCGTCGCCGCCGAGGCTGAGTGCGAAATCCTGCGCCAACGACTGGCTCAGCTTGAGGCGCAACAGGCGGCGGAGGTACCGGAGAGGCCTCCAAACGACCCCGAGGTCAACGAGGCGACGCTCACCAAAGACAAGGATGGTAACGTCATTCCGAAGACAAACCTACTTCCAAAGGAGTTCGCTGTAAGTAACGTTTCCCCCCGGTGCGCGTCATACTTCCCCTACTCTTTGTTGATGCTTATTTTGTGGGTGTTTATCGCCTGTGAACCTGTACGCGGTTGTGTTTGATTTCTAACCTCTCTGATTTTTTTGTGCAATCCCGATTGCAGATGAAGGCGCTGGAGACCTTCACGTGGCTCATAACGGACGCGCCAGTCGAGTGCATGGAGTTCTTCCCAACGTGGGAAGTCTTCCAACCTCATCTCCTCACGAAGTACCGACTGTGTGGAGTGAATCGAGACGAGTACTTCTACGCGACTGGCGGCAGAATCGAGTTCAAGAAGCTGGCGATGAAGGTAATCAAAACAAAACGCAGCAACACGCACAAGAAGATTCGACTCTACGCATGGGGTGCGGGTGGGTTGTTGGACGAGAGCAAGTGGCCGTTGCTAGCGGTGGAGATGATCATCCCATCAAAGAAACGCTCGGTAGCGAAGTGGCTGGAAGACTTCAGGCATGGTAAGGAGCTCTGTTTTATTTTTTTCTCCTATTTTTTTAACGAAGCTGACACATTTTCATGATCTGTTATGTGCAGCTGTACTTGGCTTTTCATGGCATGTCAATGGCGAAGGTGTTCCCTTCGCCAACATCGCTTTTGAGAAGGCATCCCTTGCTGCGTTCTCCACTATTACCTCCAATCTCGTGCTGCTGAAGATCCCTATGCTGGCATACCTGTGTGTTGTGGTAAGTTCAGCATGTTCAGCCACATTGTTTTTCTGTGTGTTTGTCCCACCTGTCACAAACATTAGCTAACCATTTACCCACTGATACATGCAGGTCGAAGCCCCCCTGCAAAGCTTCAGGCCGGGGAGGGGCCAGCCTTCCCTGGACGGGGTAGGCTCTACCAACAGCAACTACGTCCGCGCCAAGACTAATGTGATCGTGGGGGCGCTTCACGATGCGATGCAGAACAACCCCACAATCTTGCAGCGTGATGAGCCCAAGGGGTTGGTGCTTGGTTCTGGGTGTGTACGTATTCTCATTGAGGGGTGGGAGCGTGTGTTTCTGTAGTGGTTTCTTGTAGGTGTCGTTTGTGTAGGGTTTGTAGTGCTGATTTGAACGTCCGTTTGTACTAATTCTAATTATTGTAGTTTTCTAATTTAATTGAGATTTAATTTAGATTTAAACATGTTTATGAATATGCTTTTGCATGGATAAATCATAACCGCTCTTGCTGTAACAATACATGGTAACTTTGTTACTGGGTTATGTTCATATTCAGGTACAACTCATGTTACCAAGTTACTTCCATAAATCTAAATGTTTCACAATTGAAGTGAAGTTCGGTTTAGAATACTCGATTGAAAAGTAACGATGCTTCAGTAACAGTTACAGATGGTAACATTCGCGCTCATCGTTTTTCGTATTCCACCACTTTGACGATCGTAAACGGTCGTCTGCAGCCGTTTACCACCACCAACTCGACAGATATTGGGGGTGACGTGGATCGCGGTTGGCCCCTCAGCTCGTTTCCCACTCAACCTTCCCCTTTCGCGAACTGTCGTAAACTACCGCCCAAACCCAGTCAACCCCGGTTCACGCTCGGACACTGTAGCGGAACAATCGGGGATATATGCTGGTTCCGACACCCCCCCGTTTTCCAAACACAAAGGGCAATACCCTTGGTGGTTTATTGCCGGGGGGGTCAACCACGGTAACCACAGCACAAACGAGGCACAAGAAGGCGTTTACGACACAATACGCCTTCTACATTTTTCTGATGGTGACCCGGCCATCGTCGCGAATGAGGTAGGGGGGGGGTCTAGGTTTCGCAATATAGCCTGAAATGCACGAAAGCATTTGCGCAAAGGAGGCCTTCAGTAGCGCATGACGACGAGCTTCGACTATGGGCGACAGGCTCGCCGGCGGTCGAGGGACTACGGTTCATGCATTTCTATTACGAGGAAACGAGTTTCGCATCGCGGATATACACTGCTGCCATGCCATGATGCCAGTACTAGTACCGTACCTGTTGGAAGGTCGACTCGGTAAAATCAAACAGCGCTTTCTGATTGTACACAACATCCAATAGGTACTTTCATTCAATATAGCTATATAGGTAATAGACATTCTTCGTACAGTTTCATGTTCGGTCCTCACATACTGTAACCCAGCCAAGTCTTGTGTAACACAGTGGCACTAGGTTGGAACGGCACACCCTTCAAACGTCTATATCCTCAATGTTAAAAAGCAGTGGTGGTGCATAAAGCTTGACACTATGTAGAAGAATGCATAGTATTGTAATATATCACTATCTACAGGGCACAGATGCAGAGGGTTTGCTTGGTGCATTATGTACAGCTGTGAACAACCATGCTAGTTAGCTATATAAACTCCACACAACGCAACGCACTGCTGAACCCGCTAGAGGGTAGCACAACATTCGCACGCAGCTACGGATGATGTCAGCAGGAGGACGGTCGCATGTAGTTGGGGGGGAGGGTGGGGCATCGCTCATTCATGTGGGCATAAAGAGGGATGGAGTTGAAGCCGGGCAGGTCGAAGCGCCACTTGCCCAGCAGCTGACACCATGCCCTCGCTCCACCTACCCCCTCCACTCCCCGTGTGGTGCTACGCCCCATTTCCATCGCCTCCCTTGTTCCCCTGATCCCCTTTCTCCCCAATTTATCCTCCTTCCCTGCTTGCTCCTCCTGTCCTGCTTGCTCCTCCTCTGATTGGTCTTGGCTGAAGCACCAGGATGGCAGGTGGGAAGCATTGGACGCAAAGAGCTGCAGCTGGTAGGCGTCTCGGATCTGATGGGAGGGGGGGAGAGGGACGGGGAGGGTGGATGGGCATGGCGGATGCCGCGTGAAAGCGGAGACTCAGAAGCACCAGGTCGGCTGTGGGTGGCGTTGGAGGCAACGAGTTGTAGCTGGTAGGCGTCTCGGATCTGATGGGAGGGGGGGAGAGCGGATGGTAGGTGTCACACTTAAAAGCAGGATGGGGTTGTGGTGAGACAAGGACCGCTTGGAGGAGGACAAAGAGATGCCACGTGGCATGGGGTGGCTGGGGTCATGCGTAAGCGGCACACAGCGGCATCGCAGCATGGCAGCATGGGAGCATGGCAGCATGGGGGCATGGGATGGGAGCACAGCAGAGGCACTGACAATGAACTCTCTGACGTTGATGTGCTCCCCCATGGTACCAAACACACCCGCCTCCTTCCATACACACAGCTTGAGCCGATCAAAGCTTGGCAGCACAGCAACACGGCAGCATGGCAGCATGGCAGCATGGCAACACAGCAGCATGACAACATGGCAGCATGTCAGCATGGGTTGCGACACATCATTGCAGCAGTACTGACCGTGAATTCGCTGACATAAATGTCGGCCCCCATGGCGCCAAACACGCCCGCCTCCTTCCACACGCGCAGCTTGAGTCGACTCAAAGCTTGGAAGCACAGCAGCATGTCAGCATGGCAGCATGGCAGCATGGCAGCATGTCAGCATGGCAGCATGGCAGCATGGCAACATGGCAGCATGTCAGCATGGGTTGCGACACATCATTGCAGCAGCACTGACCGTGAATTCGCTGACATTGATGTTGTCCCCCATGGGGCCAAACACTCCCGCCTCCTTCCACACGCGCAGTGCAAACGCCACACACGACAGCGACAGCCCGTCACTGTAGCGCCAGCTGTCCTGCTCGGGCAGCGCCAGCAGCTGCCCGAACGAAATGTTTTGGCGCTGACACTCCACCAGCACTTGCTCTAGCGAGAGGTTCTGATTGGTGGGTCGGGGGGAAGAAGGATGGAGAAGTTTTCCCATGAAGAGCAACAGCAACACGCAACAGGAAATACATCCGTAGCAAGAGGATGGAGCCGCGACCATACGACTTTATAAAAAAGTTAGGAGAAAATCAACAGAGCAACCTCTGATTGCAGGTACAGGCGCTATTCACCTCACTATTCACCTGACCACTCACCTGAATCCCCAGGCGCCTGTTAAGGGCCTCGTTCCATATGCGGGCGGCATATTCCGGCTGCACTCGGCTCCACACGGCTGCCAGTGCTGCCACCTGGGGAGTGGAAGAGGAGAGATGGACGAGGAGAGATGGACGGGGCGAGTGCAGTGATGAAGGGGCGGATGGGGCCGTGAAGGGTGAGGCAGACAGTAGGGGAAAGCAAAACTAGAGATGGAAAGGAACAGCGCGGTCACTCACATACCACACTTGTGACACAAACCAAACCACATCCATGCACCAGCCCCACCTCACCGTGTTCTCGTTGATGGGCGGGGGAAAGTTGCCACCAGCCGTGTCAATCCAGCTGAACACAATGTTGTGGTACCCAAACTGCTGCCCCTCCATCAAATCATCTTTCAGTCAACAAATGAATCACCCACCAGCCCTGCCTCACCGTGTTCTCATTGATGGGCGGAGGGAAGTTGTTTGCAGGTGTATCAATCCAGCTGAACATTATGTTGTGGTACCCAAACTGCCGCCCCTCCATCGCCCTCACAAACGCCCACGCACGCCCATTGTCCCATCGCCGCCGCCCCTCCTCCCCCAGCCGCAGCACCACCACGTGCTGCCCACTCGGATCCCTCTGCATCCGCCTCCACCATTCTGAAAACCGCTCCACCGCAATCTCCGGCCGCCCTGCCACGCTGATCCGCCCGCTCTCTGCAACCCAGAGCTCCCCCTCTTTCCCGTCCCCCACTCCCTCACCCCTATCACCTCCCCCACCCGCACCCGACCCCGCGGCATCAGTGCGCAGCAGCAGGGCGGCATGAGCAGCATAGCTGCCGGTGACCCACTTCTCAATGGTCTCAAAAAGCCCCCACGGCCCGCGGAACTTGCTGGTCAGCAGCAAATCGCCGCTTGACAGGAAGGCCGTGGCGGCAGGAAGACTGAGGTCGGGTGGCGGTGCGAGGGGCCTGGTAGGGAATGGGGAGGGGAGGGGCAGGTGCGGAGAGGGCAAGGAGGCTGTTGAGAATGTAGCTTGGCGCCAAGGAGACCAGGGAGGCCAACGAGGCCAAGGAACTTGCTGGTGAGCAGCAGATCGCCACTGGCACGAAGGCCATGGCAACAGGAAGAATGAGGTCTGCGCGAGGGGTGAGGGGTCTGGTCGGGAATGGGGAGGTGAGAAAGAGAGAGGGGTGGGGGATGTGTATGACACATACACACGTGAGGGAACAGATTAAGAAGTAGCATGATCGAAGTATTGTGGCCTCAGCAATGGCAGTGGAAAGCACTGTGCATGTTCGTGAGTTTAAACATAGACAACGGGGTGACACAAACAATTGACAGTGCAGGAAGGCATACACATGGGGGTGGAAGGAGGCGTGCATGTGCTGCTGCAGGAAGCGCATCTGAGCCGCCTCGCCCACACTGCTGTCAGACGCCAGAGGCAGCAGCTGCAGCAGCGCTTTCACCGCCCCCCACAGCCCGTGGGGCAGGCGGAACACAGCCACGCCCCGCTGCTGCACCTGCAGGGTGGGATGGGAGGGGCGGTAATGGCGGAGAGGAGAGAGGGGGGAGAGCAATTGGCCTAGGGACAGGAGTGGCGGGTGCAGCCTGTGTTGAAGCTTGAACACAGCACACGTGAGGAATGGAATGCACACACATGCGTGGAACGAAATGCACACACACACACACACACACACACACACACACACACACACACACACACACACACACACACACACACACACACACACACACACACATGCATGCATGGATGCATGCATGCAACACAGGACGCACATAGTCCATCTCGAGCGGCCCCATGGCGGGCCAGGGCACGGTGATGGGGTGGGGCAGGGCGAGGGGCAGCACGCGCACCACCAGGTGGAACGGCGTGGCCAGCGCGTACACGTCTGTGCACAGCATGCGCCGCTTGCCACGGGGCTGGTGGGGAAGGGGATGGCACAGGGCAGGCATGGTGGGGGGAAGGGACGAAAAGATTGGCGAGCGCGTACACGTCTGTGCACAGCATGCGCCTCTTGCCACGGGGCTGAGGGAGACAGGGATGGCATAAGGCAGAGGTGTTGGGGGGAAGGGAAGAGGGGCGTGGTGAGGTGCGTACACGGTACACGACCGTGCACAGCAGCATGCACCGCTTGCCACGGGGCAGGTGGGGGTTGCGTCGGGAAGGCATGTTGGTGGGAAGGGAAGGGAAAACAAGTGTTTTGAGACGTCTCAAAACACTTCTTTTATCGGAAGGCGAGTTATTGGGAAGGGAGACAAGGCGTGGCGAGTGCATAGACGTCCGTGGAGAGCGTATGCCGCTTGCCACGGGGCTGACGGTGGCCAGTGGGGTAGGGGGGAAAGGAGAATGGGGGGATGGTAAAAGAGGGAGAAGAAGCGGAGCAACGGAAAAAACTCATGGGCTGGAAGGGTTTGATGTGGCATGCTGCATGGGCAATGGAGTAGGGGTCCGCACGCATGGCGTTACCATCCACGTTTCTTGAGCACACACACACTTGGCCGCACACTCTCATGCCTTGCGTGTCACGTCACGGAACAGGATGAGTGTGTCACGTGTCACAACACGGGGTGCATGTGTCACGACACGGGGTGCATGTGTCACGACACGGGGTGCATGTGGCATGACACGGGGTGCATGTGGCACGACACAGGGTGCATGTGGCACGACACAGGGTGCATGTGGCACGCACAGAGAGAGTCACGCACAGAGAGAGTGACGGTCGCTGCAGCCTGTCGTCCATCCACCGCCCTCACCCTCGCCCCATCCGACCCGCCCTCTCCCTCCGCCCCTGGCTCCCGCTGAATCGCCACCACCCACTCCCTTCCCCCTTCCTCGCCTCGCATCACTCTCCTCCTTGCCCTCGCCTCCCCATCTTCCCGCTCTCCCACATCTGGCACATCCCAACCCTCGTTTCTCACGCTTCTCCTCATCCCCACGGCCTCTCCTCCTCTTAATCCTCCTCCGCCTCCTCCTCCTCCCCCTCCCCCTCCCGTGCGCCCAAGCCTCCCCGCGCGCACGGCCAGTCGCGCCGTGACCTGCTCGAAGCACCTGTCGCCCCACGCGAGGCCCTCGCCGCCCGTCGCCACGTGGCCCAGGTACTCGGGGAGAATCGCCGACGCGTCGCCCACACCGTGCGACTGCGGCGACGGGCGACGCAGCCGCGACGAGTGCGAGGCGCGATCGAGAGGGTCGCGTATCGCCGCGTGCGACGGAGAATCAGTCCGCGCGGAAGGGGTTGCATCGGCGCCATGGATGGAATAGGCGAGCGTCGGGGGGGGGAAGGGAAGGAGCGAGGAAGAAACGAGGGATGCGATTGGGGATAGAATCGGGAAGTTACAGCCGAAGGAGGGTGCGAGCGACGAGAATTCGAGAGTCGAAAGACCGCGGTGAGTGCAGGGAGGATCCGTGGAAAGTACTAGGACGACGAGGAGAAGAGCGAGGGCAAAACATAAACAGACGGCTGCATTTCGAGCAGGTCGAGAAGGTGACTCCATGGTTAGCTAGTGGCGAGACGACCAGGGCGGCGAGAGGGAGGACGCTACGCTACTACGGTAAGAACAGGCTGACTGGTTTGTTCATCAGATGTGCCGCGAGTGAGAGTGGCAAGAGAAGCACAAAAAATGTTCACATGTGGGCGGGATGGGTGAAGCTGAACAAGGGTGTGCATTTGCGGTATAAAGCGTATACGGAAGCTGTAGGAGTGCAGGAGCGTGTTACGGGTGCAATGAATCTGTAATGAATATACATTCATTACTGTAGAAGCTGCTCCTAGCGAGGACAGCCCGAGCACTTCGCGTCAGGATGGCTCGGCCTACAATTCCGCACCGAACCAATTCCGAGTCGCCCCGCACCAATCGCGACACTTCCAACGCATCCACGTCCCGAGGTCCTCGCCTAGCACGGTTTCGACCCTATAAATGCGTGCTTCTTGATGATTCAGTAATTCTGTAATTCATTCTCTTTATAGAAGTCTTCCGCGCACTCTGTCTAGTAAAACTCATAACACTTGGTATCAGAGCTACTTTCCTAGCTTCCCCGTTTTTTAGAGTGTAATACCCCTCGGAGGGGGGGGGGGGGGGACAGGGAAGGATGCCGTGGTCGCAAGAGCAGCGCAAGAGCCGGCCAGGAGAACGGGTAGTTGCTCCTAGCGGCCATGAATTTCAAGGCGCTCCTGCGGCACCGACGGATCCTTGCCTTGACGGTCGAGATGGACCGTGGCCTCCCTACCCCCGTGTGGCGGACAGCTTTTGCTGTCGTCGCAATCAATACGTGAGTAACATAAGTCGTTTTTGGCAATTTCAGAGTTAATGCTGTGTAGCGGCTTGTCAGAACATTATAGCTTATACTTTTGTGTAGGCTGTAGTGGGGTATCCCATAGGGGGTACAACCCAATTAGGGTTAGTACTTGTACCCACTTCATTCATAGTTCATCATTTTCTCGTTTCTATTTCCTCATGGTATCGAGCAGGTTCCCTCGTGGGAACAGTGCCTAGGGCCCACCACATCGAATTTTTTTTTTTCCTTCCCGGAGCGCGCTCCCTGAGTCGCGCTCCCCTCTCTGACTTCGTCGAGCCGCCCTAGCGGCCACGTCGCGCCGCCTTAGCGGCCCCGGATTCGTCGCCCTAGCGACCCCATCGCCCTACTTGCGCCCCGGCCCCGTCGCCCTACCTGCGCCCCGGCCCCGTCGCCCTACCTGCGCCCCGGCCCCGTCGCCCTACCAGCGCCTCGGCCCCGTCGCCCTACCTGCGCCCTGGCCCCGGGGCCGTTTGCGATGAGGTACGCGGCGCATCAGATCAACCTTCACCCCAGGGTCTCCAGGCCGGAGACCTCCCAGCCTTGCTGTGGACGCGGAAGGTTGGCGAGGCGTCGGCGTTCCGGGTCTGGGGATCTCGGGCGTTTGTCCGCGACTTGTCTGCGGACAAGCTGTCCCCTCGTGCTGCTCCTTGCGTCTTCTTGGGGTTCCCCCCTGACGCGCCTGGGTGGCAGTTCTACCACCCCACCTCTCGCCGTGTTCTGTCCTCCCAGGACGTCACGTTCGACGAGTCGGTCCCCTACTACCGCCTCTTCCCCTACCGCACTCCGTCCCTCCCCCCGCTCCGTCCCCCCCGGTAGACCCCCTCCCCCCTCAAGGTCCTGCCCCTTCAGGTGTGTCCCAGGTAGACGCAGTCGAGCCTGTCGAGGTCACTGGTGACTCTGGTGCTGCTGGAGGTGCTGGGCCTGGGGGTGCGGAGCTTAGGGGTGCTGAGCATGGGGGTGCTGAGCCTGGGGGTACTACGCTTGGGGGTGCTGAGCCTGGGGGTGCTGAGTCTGGGGGTGCTACGCCTGGGGGTGCTGAGCCTGGGGGTGCTGAGCCTGGGGGTACTGAGTCTGGGGGTGCTGAGTCTGGGGGTGCTACGCCTGGGGGTGCTGAGCCGGGAAGTGCTCCACCTGGAGGTTCTCCGGATGCTTCGTCTCTCCAGGAGCCACTCTCTCCACAGGAGCTGCGCGAGTGGTTTGCCCGGCGCTAGAGACGTGCTGCTGGTGCTGGAGGTTCTTCGACTACTGAGGGTGCTGCTGTCGCGGGTCCCGGAGGTGCTCGTACAGGGAGTACTGGAGCTGCTGGGCCTGCGGGTGCGACTGGAGCTGGTACTGCTGAGGGTGTTGGAGCTGAGACTACTGCTGGCGGTCCTCCTACGGGTACTCTTGGCGCTGTTGGAGGTGCTGCTGGAGCGAGTGCTCCTGCTGGGGGTACTGGTGCTGTTCCTGCTGCTTCTGGCGTCGCCACGCAGCCTCGACCGTACTTTCTTCCACTCCTGCAGCAGGTTCTTGGTCTTCCACCTTCTACTGGTCCCCCTCCTCCTTTTGCGTGCCCGTAGCCTATCCCGTCACAGTTCCAGTTGCAGCCTACCTCCCCTTTGCGTGCTCCTTCTCCCTACGCTGGTCCTACTGGAGCTCTTGCTGAGCGTCGTGAGCCTGCGTCTCGCCCTGCGTCGCCTGTCCGTCCTGCTCGTGCTAGTGGTCGTGGTTCGCATCCGCGTCCTCCTCCTGTCCCTGGCACGCACAGGATGTCTTTGCGTCCGTCTACTGCTCCTCTGCGTGCCCCTTTGCCTTCTCCTCCTGAGTCCTCTCTTCCTGCTCTTGCCGACCCGGAGTCGGACTATCTTCGTGCTGCCAGTCCTACTGTCACGCGTCTCCTTGCTACTGTCGTCACTGACCCTTCTTTCGAGTCCACTACTGCGTCTGCCCTAGTTGCTGAGCTCGTCGACTTTGCTGCTCGCTGTCGCCTAGACTACGCTGCTAGTCTTGTCGCTGAGTCTGAGTCTGTCTGTCCTCCGTCCGTCGGGGGTGAGTGTGCCCTTGGCACGGACGTCCTTGAGGACAGGTAGGAGGAGTTCCAGTGTCTAGCAGCTGCTTCACCTCATCTCGTGTCCGTACTGCTTACTCCTAAGGGAGACCCGGATGCACTTGACATCCCGAATCCGCGCTCTTACGCGGAGGCGATAGAGGATCCCTACTCCTCTCAGTGGCGTGCAGCTATGGATGCAGAGATGGCTTCGTGGAAGTCCACAGGCACCTACGTTGACGCTGTTCCCCCTCCTGGGGCGAACATCGTCAGTGGCATGTGGATCTTCAGGGTGAAGCGGCCGCCGGGTTCTCCGCCTATCTTCAAGGCGCGTTACGAGGCTCGTGGCTTCAGTCAGCGGCAGGGAGTTGACTACTTTCAGACCTTCTCCCCCACCCCGAAGATGACCACTCTTCGGGTACTGCTGCACGTTGCTGCTCGCCGTGACTACGAGCTGCACTCTCTCGACTTCAGCACAGCTTTCTTGCAGGGCAGCCTGCACGAGGAGATCTGGCTGCGCCGCCCACCTGGCTTCACTGGGTCTTTCCCTCCTGGTACCCAGTGGAGTCTCCGGCGTCCAGTCTACGGTCTCCGCCAGGCGCCACGTGAGTGGCACGACACAGTGAAGTCTACACTTGCGGCTCTTGGGTTTGCTCCTTCTATTGCCGACCCGTCGCTGTTACTGCGCACCGACACCTCTCTGCCGCCGTTCTACATCCTTGTGTACGTCGACGACTTGGTCTTTGCCATAGCTGACACTACTAGACTCGCCTACGTGAAGTCCGAGCTGCAGAAGAGACACACGTGCACTGACCTGGGTGAACTGCGTAGCTACCTTGGCTTGCAGATCACCCGGGACAGAGCACGCCGCACCATTACCCTGACTCAGTCACACATGGTGCAGCAGGTCCTTCAGCGCTTCGGCTTCACGTACTCCTCGCTTCAGGCCACTCCTCTGCCTACTCGCCACTCGCTCTCAGCTCTGCCTTCGGATGAGTCCGTAGAGTCGAGTGGCCCGTATCCAGAGCTTGTTGGCTGCCTCGTGTACCTGATGACCTGCACTCGACCTGACCTTGCATACCCTCTTAGCATTCTCGCACGCTATGTTGCTCCTGGGAGACACCGACCAGAGCACATGGCTGCAGCGAAGAGGGTGTTGCGCTACTTGTGCAGTACGTCGGGCATGGGGCTTGTGCTTGGAGCGCGGAGTCCAGTGGTCCTCACTGGGCACGCGGACGCTTCTTGGGCTGACGACCAGGCTACGTAGCGGTTGTCACAGGGTTACACCTTCAGCCTTGGTTCCGGCTCTGTTTCGTGGCGGGCTACTCGCTCTTCTTCTGTTCTCGGCTCCAATTGTGAGGCTGAGATCTATGCCGGGGCCATGGCTGCACAGGAGCTTCGCTGGCTCACCTACCTGCTGACCGACCTTGGAGAGCCGCCTCGTTCTCCTCCAGTCCTGTACGTAGACAACAAGGCCATGCTGGCCTTGTGTCGAGAGAAGAGACTGGAGCACAGAACAAAGCACATTGCTCTTCGCTACTTCCTTGCTCGTGAGCTACAGCAGCGTGGTCAGTTGCGGCTTGCGTACGTGGTCTCTGAGGCCAACACTGCTGATGTTTTCACCAAGGCACTTCCGCCTTGTGATCATCAGCGCTTCTGCACTCAGCTGGGCCTTGTCCCTGTCTTGCCTCACTTGCTCACCTCTTGACCTTGCTTGTACTGTTACATATATATATACCTGCTCTTGCTTGTCTAGCCATATATATATATGTGTACTCCTGCATGTGAACTGGCCTTGTGGCCTTGAACTTGTGCTCAGAATGTGTGGTGACCTGATCCACCCTGAGCTTGCTTTCCTTTGCTTTGCTTGACCGGTCTTGTGACCCATTGTTCTCCCCCACTTTGCCTATGGGGGTGTGTCAGAACATTATAGCTTATACTTTTGTGTAGGCTGTATTGGGGTATCCCATAGGGGGTACAACCCAATTAGGGTTAGTACTTGTATCCACTATATTCATAGTTCATCATTTTCTCGTTTCTATTTCCTCACGGCTGACGTCGGCAGGCTTGTCATCGGCGCACGGCCGAAGTTGTCGGAAGCAAGATCGTCGTGCGAGTTGCGTCGACACGTGGTCGTCAGCTGCGCGCGACAATTACGGAGCTAGCTGCGTG